TGTGTGTGTGTGTGTGAGAGAGTGTGTGTATGTGTGAGTGTGTGTTTGTGTGAGAGAGTGTGTGTATGTGAGAAAGAGAGAGTGTGTGTGTGTGAGTGTGAGTGTGTGTGAGAGTGTGTGTGTGTGTGTGTGTGTGTAGCTTTTCAAAATATTGAAATGCTATATAATACATATTTTCACTTATAACGTTATTTTTATATATGTACACACACACATATTTATTCACTTATATATTTTCTTATATATTGTGAGTGCTCTATATAAAACTGCATGTATAATATTAAATATTATGTTTATTATACAAAAACATTATAAAATACATATTATATACATGTATAGTATTATGTATAATAACGCACACACACACACACATAATATTTTATATTATAAAGCACTGATAAGTTTTGGATTATAGCCATAATTTATAAATAATTGAAAAATATTTTGAAAACCTATAATTGCTATATAATATATATTTTTGTGAGTGCTCTATATAAGAAATGCATATATATTATTAATTATTAATATACACAATTTTTGTTGACATTTTATGATAATACATCATACTAAATACTGAACCTGTAAGTACAAATATGCTATATATATATATATATATATATATTTAAAAATATGTTATATACTGTGTGTGTGTGTGTGTGTGTGTGTATACATCTTTGAAATTAGACTTTATAACAACATATTTTCACGTATTTATTCATGTTTACACATACGTATATATTTATTTATTTGTATATTTGCTAAGAGAGTGCTAGAGTGATAAACCTATAAATGCTTCATAATACATATTGTTGTAAGTGCTCTATGTAAAAAAAAAAAAGACATATTAATATTATTTTCACTTATAACGTTATTTTTATATATGTACACACACACATATTTATTCACTTATATATTTTCTTATATATTGTGAGTGCTCTATATAAAACTGCATGTATAATATTAAATATTATGTTTATTATACAAAAACATTATAAAATACATATTATATACATGTATAGTATTATGTATAATAACGCACACACACACATAATATTTTATATTATAAAGCACTGATAAGTTTTGGATTATAGCCATAATTTATAAATAATTGAAAAATATTTTGAAAACCTATAATTGCTATATAATATATATTTTTGTGAGTGCTCTATATAAGAAATGCATATATATTATTAATTATTAATATACACAATTTTTGTTGACATTTTATGATAATACATCATACTAAATACTGAACCTGTAAGTACAAATATGCTATATATATATATATATATATATATTTAAAAATATGTTATATACTGTGTGTGTGTGTGTGTGTGTGTGTATACATCTTTGAAATTAGACTTTATAACAACATATTTTCACGTATTTATTCATGTTTACACATACGTATATATTTATTTATTTGTATATTTGCTAAGAGAGTGCTAGAGTGATAAACCTATAAATGCTTCATAATACATATTGTTGTAAGTGCTCTATGTAAAAAAAAAAAAGACATATTAATATACAAATCATGTATTTTTTATTTTGTGATAATGCATTAGTTCTACCAATACAAATACTGCTAACGCGTTTATTAATCTTAGTTAATGTTCATTTCAACATTTAATATGTTATACATTATTAAATCAAATGTTGAATCTGTTAACATTATTTAATGGACTTGAGCTAATAATATAAACTAACAATGAATGAACGTTTGCAAACATTAATAAATACTTTAACAAAAGTATTGCTCACTGTTAATTAGTAATTATACGTTACTAATGGGGCCTTATTGTAAAGTGTTACCAAATTCATTTTGTTATAATAATTATGTTCTAGAATCTAGATCATTTGTTTAAACATCAATGTATACAGTTACAGTATGTCTTTAACTGCAGACAACGTCATCTGTTCAAAACACTCCCAACAATATGACTCAGAGGAATTATATTTCCTGGCTGAATGAATATTCACAGAAGAACAAGTTATTATTCAAGGCTCGTGAGTCCACTAAGATGGATCCAGGAAACACTACTCAGTGAGTATTTAAACGTTTGCACACATGGCTTCTGATTCACAATGTCCTGCTGAGAAAAGATAGAAAAGTACAGTACTTTTTTTATGTTAAAGGGGTCATATGATGCGATTTCAAGTTTTCCTTTCTCTTTGGAGTGTTACAAGCTCTTGGTGCATAAAGAAGATCTGTAAAGTTGCAAAGACTAAAGTCTCAAATCCAAAGAGATATTCTTTATAAAAGTTAAGAGTCAGCCACACCTACCTAAAACGGCTCGTTCTAACACGCCCCCACATGTCTACGTCACGATGTGGGAAGATTTGCATAACGCCACCCAAATGTTCACGCAAAGAAAGAAGGCGGAACTTTTATTCTCGCTGTAGTATTGTTGTTGCCGCCACCATATCGTGAAGACGCTGTGTTTCGTTGTGAAAGCGAAACTACTTTGTTTGGTCTTCCAAAAGAGGACGATATCCGCTTCGTCATGCCTGGAGCTGATCCGTGCTGGTCGCTGAGGAAATACATCAACTTCACGCTGTGGATCACCGGATCGGCTTTCACCGTGGACGAAGCGGAGTCCAGCCCGGGGTCGTCACATGTGGTTGCCGCAAGCCCTCCGAACACTTTTTATATATTTAAAGCGAGTTTTTTGGGCAGTGTAGAGTAGGGCTTGTTGTTTGTCATTTCTCCGATCACAAATGCAGACAGAGTTTTATGTTTACGTGGTGCGATGCAACGCAAAGCGTAAAAAGACAGTATAAGTCATTATAATCAGTAATTATGTCCCCACTGGATGCAACAAATGCCTCGTTTATAATGGGTTTTAATGTTTTTGTCTCGTCGCTCTGGCCGGACAGGGCATCATCACAGTATGGTGAGGGGCGTAACATTTCCGTCACACGCTTGAGGTATTCGGCCAATCACAACGCACTGGATAGCTGGCCAATCACAGCACACCTCGCTTTTTTTTCAGAACGATGAGCTTTGTCAAAATCGACGCGTTTCAGAAAGGCGGGGCATAGAGGAGAAACAATAATGTACAGTATGTGGAAAATAATGTTTTTTTAACCTTAAACCGCATAAACACATTTCATTACACCAAATACTGTTCTTTTTAGCAGCATCATATGACCTCTTTAAAATTTATATACACATACACAAAATGAATTCCAGACCCTAGCAGGAAATAAAACCAGATTTTCTCTTTTATCTGTTTTGCAGATTGAGTACTTATGTTTGTAAGTACGTTTGTGGTGATAGAGAGTTTCCCGAGGCTTATGGAAAAAATAAGAAGGACGCTAAAGAAGCAGCGGCAAAATGTGTTTATAAAGAGCTACTCGAAACACAAGATGCAGAGGTAACAGCATTTATCTACTTGCCCTGTCTATTGCTCTAATTTATGAGTTTTGTTTGACATTTTATTTTGCATTTAAGGTCTTCGATGGGAACAGCAGTAGACCACAGAGGTCAGAGGTTGCATCTCGTAGGTAAATGATAAACAAAATTGTGATTGAGAGTAATTGACTTTTATCAGGGCTTCTGTTTCTGCTTCAGATTAATCTTCTTAAAAGAAGTAAACAAAAAAATATATAGAAATTTTATTTATACGTTTATTATCAGAAATATATTAAAAAATATTCATTTTCATTTTATATTTGGAAATTTTCATTCTGGATGTAGTTTGTGTCTTCATGAGATTTGGAGAAATGTAGCACTGCATCAGTGTCTCAGCAATGGATGCTCTGCAGTGAATGGGTGCCGTCAGAATGACAGCTGATAAAAACATCACAATCCAATCGTCTGCAATAATATCGTAATTGTTGTTTTAATGATGTGCGATTTGACGTTATCGCGTATTTTGCAAAAACCATTCAGAACACCCCTACAGAGCGCACGCATACATTACATGAAGTCTAGACTAGTGCATGTGTGCATTTAGAGTGCGTTCTTTCACTGCATGATTCAGTCTATTAAAATGCCTTTAGAATGATCACAAATTCAAGACATGGGGGCAGAAAATTCATGTAGCCTAGTTAATCAATTTCACACGAAGATGCCGTTTTTCTCCAAAAATTACGATGATTACAAATGTGATATTGATTTCTTACAACAGTTCAATAAAAAGTTAATTTAGACACCATATTACCTGTTTTTGTTCTATTTCGACAACAGAAATAATTCCAAACACAGCCACAGCGCTGTTTTGCGTCTCTGAGCAACATGACGGTGTTTCGTTCCTGAATGAATCACTCGTTTAAATGACTCTGTTCAATCGCAATGACTCGGTTATTAAAGGTGCCATAGAACGCATTGATACAATATTTTAAATTGTTCTCTAATGTCGCCAGAGTGTGTATGTGAAGTTTTATCTCAAAGTACCCCACAGATAATTTTTTATAGCTTGTTGAAATTGCCACTTTTAGAGAAGTAGGAGTCTCCATAGAGAGACTCAGAAGAGTGCGGCGCTTCAAGAGCTCATGCTCGCGGGCATACCGGTGTTACGGTTTAACTGGTGGTGACCGTGTTACTGACCTCACGTTGCTTCCAAATGCAATTTTGAACTACCACATTCCTATTTAAGATCATTCTGGTAGCACGTGAGAACAGGCAGAGACAGTGGTAGCTTTAGCAACATTAGCCTTACAGAGAGCAAGAAGCTCTTTTGGAAAACAAAATATGACACGTGATGTTTACTTTGTCTGGAGTCTGGAAGTTTGCGCACAAAGCATTGGTATCGATACCTCTTTCAGAAGCAATCTTTGCACAACTCAGCGCTGATCTGACCCTTGTTTGTGAGGCAGTCCGGCGTAAAATGTTAGCACAAACGTATAGGACTTAACTGTTTTTTTCCCGGGACATTTCCTTTGAAAATGAAATTTAACCACCGTGTCCTCAGCGGTCTATGGAGACTCCTATGTTTGTTGGTGCATCCCAACCCATGACACTTTTAATGGCTCTTTGGCGCTGACATTGTACCTCCAGCAGCTACAGCAAGAAAACAGTAATGGCAGACCGCTGCTTCTCACTCAGGGCTGTGTATATGCTAATAGGGCAGAGGGCGGGACTTTCCAGAGTATGACGTCATAGTAGTGAGAAATCTGGAACTGCTAGTGTGGACTGTTTATGATTTATTGGGATTATAAAACAATGAGTGGGTGGATTTTTACCATTATAGGCTGGTTGTTTTCACACACTGCGGTCACACAACTGTGTTCAAACACCTTATAAAAGTGATTTTTGCACCTTTAACAGTGACTTGCTGGCACCTACTTGCGGTTTTAATTTCACATTCAAAGTATCTTTTATTATTTAAATAATTTCAAATATCAGTATTCAACGTTTTATGTTTAATATCAAAACATTATTTATGCATTTGTAACTGCATGTTAAATGCATTCATGTCTTGCATTAAACAGTGTGTATATGCATCTAAATGCCACTTCAGATGCAGCTTCTGTGTTTCCTCTGCATTGCAAAGATGAATTTTGTTGATATTGATTTCATTTGCTTGGTAACAGCCCAAATGTCTTATTATTCTAATTCACTGATTAAATTTAAGAATTTGACTCAAAACGTAATGGACAAATGGCTTTATAAAGGTAAAAATGCCCATAAAAATGTAAAAATCAGTTTCAACTTATTGGAAAAGATTAATTTATATCACTGCTGTGAACTGACCACACCCTCCATATACAAAAACGCAACTGCAGTGTTTCCAAGTCCAGAAAGGAGATCGGTAAAATAGTCCAACATGACATCATTGTATTCAGTGTTGTTTACGTTCTGGGGTACTCTCCATAATGGTGGAAGACGGTAACTCGGTAATGTTGTTATTGTTTTCTTTGCAAACAAAAAGTATTCTCATAGCTTCGTAAAATTACAGTTGAACCACTGATGTCACATGTATTTTACATGTTTATTTTACCGATGTCCTTACTATGTTTCTGGACCTGGGAACATTTCAGTTCTGTTGCTGTCTATGGGAGGGTCAGAGAGCTCTCGGATTTCATCAAAAATGTATTAATTTGCGTTCTGAAGATGAATGACGGTCTTATGGATTTTTTGGGTGTACTAACCCCTTAATGTCTTAAGAAGACAAAAGCTGCATGTTTGTATGAAATAAATCCACCATTAAGACTTTTTTAACTTCAAACCATCGCTGCCAGCTAAAATACATCATCCATAATAACGTTTCCTCCAGTGAAAAAGTCCATCATCTGTTGTCCTCTCACATCAAAATCCACACACATATTTGTTTAGACCTGTTTAGGATTATTTTGGCTTAGTGCTTGATCTGTACAGATGGCATTTTTACTGGAGGAAGCGTTATTATGTACTCATATGTTAGCTAAAAGCAATAGTTTGAAGTTAAAAACGTCTTGATGAATTTGTTTCTTACAAACACAGCTTTTGTCTTCTCCAGACATTAACTGATGGACTGGAGTGCTGTGGATTATTGTGATGTTTTTATCAGCTGTTTGGACTCTCATTCTGACGGCACCCATTCACTGCAGAGCATCCACTGCATTTGCATTTCTCCATATTTGGCTGAATGCATATGTTGAGCTCATTTTGACATCTTGTCTTTTGTATTTAAGTGTTAGCCTGGAATGTGCCAGTTCCAGTTTTGCTGATGAATCTCAAAGTGCCACGCCTGACAACAACTACATAGCACGTCTCAATAACTACAGCCAGAGACATAACTGTGTGGTTGATTTTGAATTAGTGGAGAAGAGAGGCCTTCCTCACAACCCTGAGTAAGTCTTGAACAGGCCATAGCTATGATTTGTTAGAGTTGAAATGGAAAACTGACATGTTCTTTTTCAGGTTTGTATATAAAGTTGTCATAGACAGGAAGGAATACCCTGAAGGACAAGGAAAGAGCGCAAAAGAGGCAAAGCAACATGCTGCTCAGCACGCTTGGAGCGAAATTAAGGAGCAATCTGGAAGGACCACACAGGCAGGACGCTTCAGAAATACCTTGTATTTGGTTTAGATGTTAATGATGCCATGTTTATTAATGCACATGCATGTTTTGAATGAACAGAGTTCTGAAGATGACAGCTCTTCACAAACTCAAGAGACATCGTAAGTTCAAATGAACAAAATAAAAATGCATATTTACATAATTTATCATTCTGTCATGCATGCTGTGCATGTAATTTTTAATAGTTTACTATTGATCTGTTTTATACACTCCTCAAAAAGCTCGTCTGAAACTCCCAGCTCAAGTTCTTTCATTGTCTTCAAAGACTCATCTGCTGTCAGTTCTCCAATGGCCGTAAGTCCGGTAAGTCCAGTCTGCAATGCTGGTAGCATTTGCATTTTTGACTTGAAAATATTTCACACAGTAATATATTATAGGCTATCCATCTCATAAAACATAAACATATTTTAGTGTATTATATATATTTGAACTTATGAAATCAATCTGTGTTGCAGAGTCCGCTCGATGTGAAGCCGAAAAAAAAGTAAGCTTTTACAGTTGTTAAATTTTTTTGATTTATATTTAGTTAATTTTTGTATTCACATATTTTTAAATCATCAATGACACAAATTAACAAGCTAAATTTTTTTTCTTTTAGATTAGCACCAAATTTTAATCTGTCACCAAAGGACCTGGCCAGTAGTAAAGAGGTATTCCAACATTTTACCAGTAATGGAGAAGCAAATAAATACAAAATAGTTTTAGCTGAACAAAAAGTTATTTCTGAAATGAGTTACATTTTTCCATGACAAATGAAAAAATACAAAGAAATAAAAAGAAAGGTGATGGGCTTGCGACACGTCAATTCCCACATCCCCCCTCGTTCACCTAAACCTCCCATGTCTAGCCTTCAGAATGAATATTTTCTGCCTCTCTACCTGGGGTGCTAGCTCACAAGAGGATGTTTACAGAGGTTCACAGAGCCTTATTTACACATATCCACAGCCCCTTGCCTCAGAGCCACAGCCAGCCATGTACAGAGCACAAAAAACGTGACGTGACATGTGGCCAAGTATGGTGACCCACACTTGGAATTAGTGCTCTGCATTTATCCCATCCAAAGTGCACACACACAGCAGTGAACACACACACACCGTGAACACACACCCGGAGCACACACATTTATGCTGCGGCGCCCGGGGAGCAGTTGGGGGTTCGGTGCCTTGCTCAAGGGCACCTCAGTCGTGGTATTGAAGGTGGGAGAGAGCGCTGTACATTCACTCCCCCCACCTACAATCCCTGCTGGTACGAGACTCGAACCCGCAACCTTTGGGTTACGAGTCCAACTCTCTAACCATTAGGCCACGACTTCCCCAAAAGTTCCAGTTGCTCACTAATTCACACAATATCAGCAGCCCTTTGCCTTAGAGCAGTCTAATGAGTCTAAAGTCCAATGACACCAAGGCTAGGCTAGGCACTTGCATGTCTGTAATACTCACCTGCTACATCATATGTTGTACTTACTTTCATGTCAACTCTTAGTTACACTTTATTTTGATAGTCCACTTTAGACATTCTACTAACTATAAGTAACTTTGCAACTACATGTCAATTGATTCTCATTAATTTGCAACTACATGTCTACTAACTCTCAGAGTAGACTGTTAGGTTAGGTTTAGGGTTAATAAATTAAGTTGACATATACTTGCAAAGTTTCTGATAGTCAGTATGTTGTATGTTGTGGACTTATCAAAATAAAGTGTTAGAAGATATTAAGCAGACAGTCTACTAATACTCTGATACCTGCTAGATGACATGTAGTTACAAAGTTACTTACTGTTAGTAGAATGTCTAAAGTGGACTATCAAAATAAAGTGTTACCCAACTCTTATTAGATATTTGGGATTGTGATGTTTTTACACAGTGGGGATTTTATACATTCCCCAAAGCTTGAGATATTATGCAGTGTTGAGAGACCGACTCGAATAAGAAAGTCTTGGGTTACTCAACGAAGAGGGAACGAGACATTGCATACACTGCAATTCATTCTTGTAATTTCAACTTTATTCTCGAAATATATTTATTCAACTTTATTCTTTATTATGAGAATAAAGTCGAAATATTTCGACTTTATTCTTGTAATTTTGACTATTCTCTAAATATTTCGTATTCTTGAAATATTTCAACTTTATTCTCATAATTTTGACTTTTTTCTCATATTTCGACTTTATTCTTGTGATTTAGAATTTATTCTTAAAATATTTTGACTTGATTCTCTTAAGTCGTAATTTTGACTTTTTTTCTCAAAATATTACGACTTTAATCTCGTAATAATATTTATTTTTTTAACGTGGCACCAAAACGCCGTCATAGTTTTGAGATCAGTAAGTACATTTGAAGATATTTGACTCATTTAAACTACAAACAATATTGCTTCAATACTTTTACAATTTACATAGCAAAGTGTTTTTCACATAACAGTTGAGTAGCAATATTGAACCAAATACGCTTAGAGCACATGACTAAGTAGCATATGAACACTAAAATGTTAGCGATAACAAACAGCTTGAGTTACACGCAGATGTTCTCATGCAACAGTATATTTGCTCAAGAAAATGACTCTATCCTACCACTAGCGTCTTGATGAACACATTGTGGCTTCTCCCAGTTGTCCTCAAATTAACTTTTTACTCCCAAGTTCATATCGCAGATTTTCGCAATCTTTCTCCTTTGGTTTAATAACCAGTAACACCGTCTTGGGTAGGACAAGTCCATCCACTTTGCAAACAAAGAACTCTCTGCACGCTGGTACTCGCACACACACCTGCTTCTACATGGATTCAACTCCTTTGCTTCTCCCACATTGCGCTGTGTGCTCACAACCAATAGTTTCCATCATTTTGGTCTCAAGGCTAAAATAATTTTATCCAATAGATTTGTGTTATATAGAAATACAAGACTTTTTTTCTCGCAATTCCAAATTAAGCTCAACAGCTAAATTTTTATTTTATTGTGGGTAAGTCAAGTGTTGATTTGAGAAGGCTAAATTAATCAAATACATAGTCTTGCTGTCGGACTCTAGGTAGTATATATATATATATATATTTAACAAACAAAAAATACTCTAAACTTAAAGAAATGAAAATAAATATTTTAATATTAAAAACAAAACTGCTTAGATTTGAGGCCTGTGCAGTGCTTTATTTTTTGTCATAATCAGGATTTACCAAAGCATAGTTTTTTGTTATGTGGTGTAAGAAAAATTTACTATGTGTTTTATATTTTCTTTTATTTCTTTTTTTATTATTTTCTTCTAATACTTTCCATAGGTTGGTCCTAACATGAATCTACGAAAACCAGCAAAGCCATCTGGAGGTCAAACTTCAAACAAAGCTACAAAGTCAAGGTAAATCATATTACTTTGTGTTAATCACCATAGCTTCTGCAAAGTTTTTTTCTTTTTTCCATTAGAATGTTTTGAAGATGTTATGTTCATCTTTGTAGGTTTTTAGAAGACTTTGACTCAATAAATCCGATTGGCAAAGGTGGCTTCGGCCGTGTTTTCAAGGCAAGACGAAAGCTTGAGAGCACATATTATGCTGTGAAGATAGTGACGAGTACAAAGTAAGGAACTTAAGTTATTTTATCATCTTTGTCTTTAAATAAATAATAAATAATTTGATAGTTGCAAAAACTTGATATGTGTCCTATAGGTTACATCATCCTAAAACCTGCCATTTTAAATAGGCTTCACAGTAGTTGTGTCAATATGATGTCCAAAAAAGTTATCTAAGCCAGCAGCTAACTAGGTCTTAAAGGGTTAGTTCACCCAAAAATCAAAATTAGCCCATGTATTACTGACCCTCAAGGCATACTAGGTGTATATGACTTTCTTCTTTCAGACGAATCAGAGTTATATTCCAAGCTTTATAAGGGCATGGGCAGGTGTTTTTGTTCAACAGTCCAAAAGTAGTCAAATAAAGTGCATCCATCCATATTAAAATGTGCCTCACGTGGCTCCTGGGGGGGGGAAGTGAATAATGGCCTCCTGTAGCGAATCCATGCGTTTTTGTAAGAAAAATATCCATATTTAAAATGATATAAATAGTTCTGTGTAACTTCCGCTAACTGTCATATGCTCATTCACGAGAGACTGCCTTTCCGGCAGATGAAGCAGGACGTCGGCACAGCGCAGCGCATGCGCATATGAGTCTCGCCAAAACCTACGTTTGTTTACAGGAGCAAAGGAAGTAAAATTTCCTTAATTTAGCAAAGGAAAACCAGTCTCCTCTTGGCTTATATCGAAATCCTCTGACATGCTTCTTTACAAATCCTAGTTTTATGCTTCTAATTCGTGACCGGCGTTTTATTCTGTTCTCTCTCTGTCGCGCTTCCGCGTTCGTCACTAATCACCGGCGCTTATGTGACGCATACGTCCTACGTCATCCACCGGAATGTCTTCCGCCTACGACAGTCAGCAGAAGTGAGAAAAAGGTGTTTATAATGTTTTAAATATGGATATTTTTCTTACAAAAACACATCAATTTGCTACAGGAGGCCATTATTCACCCCGCCCCCCGGAGCCATGTGAGGCATGTTTTGTTATGGATGGATGCGCTTTATTTGACTACTTTTGGACTGTTGAACAAAAACACCCACCCATGCCATCGTAAAGATTGGAAGAGCAAGGACAATTTTTTATATAACTCTGATTGGATTCGTCTGAAAGAAGAAAGTCATATACACCTAGGATGCCTAGAGGATGAGTAAATCATGGGCTAATTATCATTTTTGGGTGAATTAACCCTTTAAAACAAAATATACAGCAATGCAACTTTATTTTTGTACTACATAACATAATGTCATTATATATATACTGTATTTCCCTAGAAAAGCTCGTCGTGAGGTCAGTGCTTTGGCTAAGTTTACTAACGCCAACATCGTCCGCTACTACTCATGTTGGGTCGAGGACACGGCATACAGGCACGATTCTTCAGAGAGCTACAGCCTCTCAGAGTAATTCACCAAAAACAACTCTGTGACAACTTTCTGAAACAAACTGCAGTCTCCAGCTGTAACATGTGTATTTGTGCTGCTCTCTCTGTCTGCTGGCTTTAGTTCTGGCAGTGACCCGGAAACAAAGTTCCTCTACATTCAGATGGAGCTTTGTGAGGGAGACACGCTTCATGCCTGGATTGATAAAAGAAACTCTTCAGATGTTCATGACCCAGAGAGGAGGAAGGAGGCAGCACAGATCAACAGGCAGGTGCTGAAGGCCGTGGAGTACATCCACAAAGAGGGCTTGATCCACAGAGACCTGAAGGTGGGCAGCTCACTAAAATGAGTTTTCATGCTCTGACACAATTAACAGTTGGCTCCCTTTTAATTATGTGAAAATCTGTGAAATTCCTCTGTTGCCTGACTGTATTCATTAATTGAATTCCTCTTCCTGTCATTTAAATATAATGAAATTTCATAAATTTTTCTGCCTATACATTTTATTTTAAATATTATTAACATATGTCTGGAAATTTTGCCATTTGTGTATATGCTTATATTTATGGCTAATTTGCACATCCCTAAATTCAAAATTGAATGACAATTCTCCATCCTGTTTGCTATCGGAATTCTTTACCCTTTCACAAATCACAGCCTAAAAATATCTTAAATTGGAGCAGAAAGTCTTAAATTCATAAAGTCATGGGGCCCTATTTTAAAGGGTTAATTCACCCAAAAATGAAAGTTTTGTCATTAATTACTCATCCTCATGTTGTTCCAAACCCGTAAGGCAAGGCAGGGTCCTTACACGATCAACGTCCAGAAACTTATCAAGGAGATCGGTAAAATAATCCATGTGACATCAGGGGTTCAACCGTAATTTTAAGGAACTACGAGAATACTTTTTGTGCGCAAAAGAAAAAAAATAACGACTTTATTCAACAATTCGTGTCCTCCGTGTCACCCTAGCACCATTTTGGAGAGTATCCACTGAACGCAAACAGTGTATGCTGTTCTGTGTCAGCTGCACCACACGGATACGTTTTCTACGTTGTTTGTGCTTTGATTTGAACAATTTGAATGATTATTCTATCAAAAGGGTAAATGCAATAACATTTCATGTGTCCTTTAACCAACCTCCACTGACTATACACTGACGTAATTTAAAGGGGTCCTATTATGCTCTTTTACAAAGTCTTGATTTTGTTTTGGGGGTGTACTAGAACATGCTCTCATGCTTGGTGGTTCGAAAAACGCAAATTTAAAAAAAATTAAATTATTAAAATACCTTTCTCCCCAGCCTGCCACAAACGGCTCGATTAGTTCCGGCTTTGATGAAGGTCCGCCTTCCGAAAAACAAAATGTGTTGTGATTGGTTAGCTGTCCCAGTGTGTTGTGATTGGCGAACAGCTTAGATGGTGTTTCAGTACTGCCACGCCCCCTTTCTCCGTCTTTCAACAAAAGCTTAATCCGGCACTACTCACTCATGTTGTGGAAGCTGTCCTCAGTAAAACGCGCAGCACACAATAGCAAATTTGTGTTGTAATGCTCAGGAACAGAGTTAAAAAGTAAATTGCAACCAACCGCTTTCGGAAGCCCAAACAAAGACGTTGGTCAAGGAGGTGAAAAAAACAGCGTTTCAGGCGGTCGCGCACCAGACGAGAAGCGCAGCGTCGCGCCACGTCTTTAAAATTCGAATACATTATTTTCTATGAGTGTAGGCACACCGGCGGCTCTGTTCGGCGTCTGTCTGCGGCGCCCAGCCACGTCGTGTTGTACTTGTAAGAATTGTTCTAGACCAGC